ACACTTTTCTTGTAAGTCAAGTGATGAAGAGTTCCGTGAAGTAAATTGGTTCGATCCGTCTGTATTCGTCTAACAATAAACAATATTGAAAAATTATTTAATTCTAAACGATGTCCAACCAAAATAACTAATCAAAGTTGTTGTTTTCAACTGCCTTTCTCATTATGACGTCACAGGCGCGCTCCGTCGGCCGCTAGAGGGTGCGATTTATTGGAAAGATCTATTCACTGACGCAATCTATATGCACATCACGGTAAAGTGATAAACACCGAACGTCCTAAGCGATACTATATTATAGTTTGCTCATCCGACCATAAGTACGGCAGGAATATAATACACTGGACCAAACACAATAAATGTACTTCTGTGTTGATCAGCGGTCACAGAAGTCCAATGGACGTTAAAATAATCATACTGTCAATATAGTATGTAACATAATTTATGCATAATAATACTGAGACAATGCGAACACAATGTACGAGGCATCCGATGGCGGTGAATACGAGTAAATTAAAACTAATATATTATAAAGTAGTCTCCAGTATAAATTGAATCACGTTCTCTGTGATTGGATGAAGTGGTTTGGGGGGTAGAAAATTGTAATGTAACTTTGTTTTACTTCACTGTTTGTAATACGATTTTTTTAACGATGATATTACTATATTCGTTTGGCTTTCAATTTACAATATTTATCGGTTTGTGACAATATACCCGACTTGATAAATACAGCCATCAACGCTATATACTGTTTGACGTTAATCCACTGTGAGTTCACAGTTCAGACTATCGATCAGTAGGAGAATGACGTCATGGAAGATATTTTCATGGGAGCAACTCGATCGTATGCTACACTGGGGACCAATTTTGAGTAGGGCCAAGTTCGTCGTAATTCACACTGGCTTAGAGACAATGAGGTGTGTAGTTACAGGCATAATGCGGTGCAATGAAAACGTATCCAGTGAAAATAAGGGTGCAACAACCGATATGCGTACATCTGTATGGTCAGTAGCAATACATGTGCCTGCGATCTCAATAAATACAGACAAGGATGTATACCAGGATAATTTTGTTGGGGCATTTTCTAATCTGGGTTTGAAAGCTCGTGTGTATAGAATTATTGTAAAACATTTCGTATTTGATTAAATGATTGAATTACTGTCAACGCATTAATTATTCACGGGGTTTGAATTTCGCTATTTTCGCTGATAATAACAATCCGATAAAAATTAAATACACACGGACATGTAAAATAACAACATGACTCATTGTTTCCTGGCAAATTCGTAAAGTTAAAACCCGGTGAATACTCACGGTATGCTCAAAATGCCAATGAAAATAAATGGGTTTGCAGTATAGGAAGTCTTATGAACAATAGCAATTATGTGTTGTTAAGTACACTCTACCAAGTCTACACAATTGAAATTAATGATTCACACACTATTAACATTATCTCTAGTTTGCATAGGATGGTATCTTGAAACTGTGTCATGATATGATGATAATCGAAATTGCAACGCGATAAGTACATGGTGTATATGTATGTATTGTTATTTTATTTTATTTTATTTTATTTATTTATTTATTTATTTATTTATTTATTTATTTATTTATTTATTTATTTATTTATTTATTTATTTATTTATTTATTTATTTATTTATTTATTTATTTATTTATTTATTTATTTATTTATTTATTTATTTATTTATTTATTTATTTATTTATTTATTTATTTATTTATTTATTTATTTATTTATTTATTATTTACGCATTTCACTGAGAGACGGTAATGGTTACAAAAACAAATGAAAGCAATAATGAAAAAAAAATAATCACTCAAAATGATAAAAACAACCACTCACAGTCACAACAGGACAAAGAAATCAACGAACTATCTTAGTTCGGGGATTGATGACGAGCGAGGAAGCTCTTTTTAATCATGTGCCATTTGGTAATGCATATATGTCCATCGTTGAGTAATAAGATGAACTGTTCGTCCATTGGATTGCTCTCAAATTATATTGTTTACCTGGGTTACTTCGCCCATGGCATTGCTTTTTGACAGAATACATGATCCAGTTATCGTATCTTCAGTCCACTTGCACTTGTCACCAAGCTAGTAACTATTCCAAAAATAAACTGGAATAAGATAGAATAAAACAGTGAACGGAGTACACAACATATGGCAGTGTGGTGCTCAACATGTGACATGTTATACAAAAAACTAAACAAAAAAAAAAAAAACGAAAAAAAAAACACGAATTGAAAATTAATAAACATATATACACAAATCACTAGTTTTGTTCATACCCAGGAACTTCATGAAAATAGTGCGTAACTTGAAACTGTCACATTTCCACTATAGAGTAACTGCTTCCCGGGGATTGACAAACATGTACATGAATGAGTCCCGGGGTTTGTCGAAATTTTCAACATTATTCAACGCATGTACACACGGAAGATAAAACGAACCAACCGCGGCATCATCAGTTGCAATCAACGATGGATTAATACGTGGCAAAGCACGTGGGCTGGGTCGCAAATAGTTCTTCTCGAATTGCAAATGAACGAGGAATCAGGCAAAATCAATCCCCAAGGCATTTGGAGGCGCTGACTTATGCTCCTTGTCAGACTTTCTTACATCTCGTGGAAAAACGCATGTTTGAAAGACACGGACACGCTACCAATAACCCCAAAGAACACCAATTACTGACAACAGCACGTTTTGTGTAAACATGAGAATTTACAGTCACAGTCCCTCAAATAGAGGGACTGTGTTTGGGTGATGTGCACAGAGATGTGCAATTATGAATACTATACAGGGCTTACCTATTCATAGGGTTTTATTTTCGCATATTTTGCTGATCTGATCTGATCTGATCTAAAACCTAGTTAATATGCTGTGCAATGTTATATTGTTTGCTCCACACTCCAATGACTCGGAATTTAGCACTTTATTAAACGTGCAAACATGTTATCAATTATAAGTTTGTATGTATGCAAACAAAAATTATTCCAAGCTATGTTTAGTTTATCACATACAGTAAAGGTTTTTTGTATGTATATGTCAAATGTCAAATGACTTTAGCTCAGTCTGTTCTGATTTCAAAGACATGCTCTTTTGTTCAGTTGACGGTTGTGTCTAGACATTATCTTGTTTTGTTTTGGTGTCTTTTTCCAATAAAATAAAATATTACGTGAGTGCATTAATGCCTAATGTAATAAAATGATCAAATTCAAACTTGGCCCAATGGGACTCGGATCGTGCTTTCGTCTGTGTCTCAAATTCCCAACTAATACCACCGAATACTATCTGGG